TATATATATATATGTGTGTGTGTGTGTGTGTGTGTGTGTGTGTATGTGTGTGTGTGTGTGTGGTAGTATATATATATATATATATATTGTAGATGATTGAGGTTCGCACATAGTTGGTTATATACGTTCGTAATGTGCAGCGTACAATGTAGATTATGTGTATATTAGCTCCAGTATTACACCATGTCAATTCTTATGTCATCACATATCCAAATACACTTAATCGTATATTAGTCCAACAAAACGTATGCTTTAGTACCTGTATCACGAGTTGTGTTGTGAGACTGTGTGTGTGTCGAACCCATCTTCTTCCACACCAATTCCTCTCCAATTCATTCATCTCGTCCAGGTCACCGAAGGCATTCGAGCTGCAATACAGAAATCAGACGATAAGTACCACCACCGCAGACGTCAGTCGACGACTACGGTATTCTCGACGGAAAAGGAACCAGCCGAGGCTGAGTATGAAGTCCATATCTTCACGGGCAATGTATTTAACGCGTCTACCAGAGCTAATGTGGGGATTTCCCTTTTTGGAACCGGCGCGAATGGTAGGTCGTGCGGAGGGCAGGTACAAACCGAGGCTATAAACCACCATCGCAGTGCGTTCTTTATATATATATATATATGTGTGTGTGTGTGTGTGTGTATGTGTGTGTGTGTGTGTATGTATGTATGTATGTATGTATGTATACTCTGCCTTTAAAGGGCTCATGTTGCTAGGGTGCACTCTATCACTAGGGATGGGTATGTGCTAGGATTTAATATTCTTAGTGCAGATAGACTCTATACGGATTTAATGCGACAACTGCTGATTGCGCTGGTATGTAGTACACATTCTGCGAGCTTTGTCAATAAAAGGCATTCATTGTGACGTAGCGTGGAGCCTTTTATAGAAAGTAGCATCTGAAAGTTTCACTATACCACAGCTGCTAACTTACTTTCCCGTGCAAACACATACGAACAATCTGAGGTCAATCTATAAATAGACATCTGGACAGCATACAGTTGTTTATGTTATTTCTAGTATCAGGCGCACCAGGGGCATTCATTGTGATGTAGCGTTTAAAAGCAACTGACAGTATTACCGTAGCACAGTTACTATCCCGTACACCCACACTCTGACAAGCTGAGGTCGTTCTATAAATAGTCCTATATCTCTAACACAATCGTTCCTACTATTATCAGGCACATCCGTATTAAGCTGAGGCCGTTCTATAAATAGTCATGTATCTAAAACACAATCGTTCCTACTATTATCAGGCGCATCCGTATTAAGCTGAGGTCGTTCTATAAATAGTCATATATCTAAAACACAATCGTTCCGACTATTACCAGGCGCATCCGTATTCTCTGGCTGGATCCTGTTGGACTCCACCTGCAATGCCATGGCGTCAAAGAATGGCCGCTTGTGCTTCCAGCGCGGGCAGCACGACACCTTCGTCTTCAAGTGCGCAAATGTTGGAGATCTCAAGAAAATCAGGTACACGGCCTGTGCTTGTCCTTCCTTCAGATTGCAATGTGTGTGTGCAATAAAGATAGGTTACCATGCCCGTGTGTGTGTGTGTGTGTACTCGTGTGTGTGTGTGTGTGTGTGTGTGTGTGTC